GTTGTGTTCAATCGGGGGGTGGGGTGGCGGAGCGGCGAGGCAGTGTCGTATCGTACCGCTATGGACGGGATCAAACGTTCAAGGTGCGAACTACACCTCGATGTTCAATCGAACAGATGACAATTGTCACAACCAGGTAGGTGTGCGTATATATGTGCAACTCATAGGCCTTTACATTTTCGTCCCTCCATTTAGATGAGGAGAACATCTCCATCACGGGAAGTTAGTGATTCGAGTATTCTCAGCAGAGGCTAGTTGAGATACATGGCCCATGCGTAGGAGGATGTAAACGAGGTGACCAGTCACAACATCAGATACCCACCCCCGACTGTACTGGGACTTTCGGAAGCAGGAACCGAGCTAGATACCAGAAACCCTGAGTCCAAGACAGAAGAGTCCAAGGATGGGTGGGATAGCTTGGTGCTCTGATGAGCAGACAAGCAGTCATGGAGTTCAACCAATTAGGAACAACTCGGGAAGCACATTCAGCCTGACAGGGCAAAGCCAAAGTCTCGCGGAAGTCCAACCCCTCGCGACAATCGAAAGTAGAAATGCAATGGGAGAGCAATGTGAGGGATACAAACAGTCAGTAAGGGACATGCGGTAGCGGACGACTGGATAATCACGGGTTAAACAGAACTGAACGCTACCAGGCGCGTTCCCGGGGGATACCTTCATAGAAGAAAGTTAGCTATGAATAAGTTGTGATATGCCGCTACAAATCAGCAGTCGCGAACTGACAGCGGCGGTACTACCAGGGTGTGGTGGGTTTCAGGTTGGTCATCTGACTCCTGTTTAAAAGCCGCATAAGACCAATGACGGTGTCGTAACAGAGTTCGATATGACTGGCCTGTTAAAACTAAATTCATTGACCCCTTCGCTTCCGAGACGAAGGATTACTTCTGACTGCCTTGAAGTTCGCACTTGGTTGTGCAAAGACTGGAGGTGAGCCCTCCAAATAAAACGCCGAGTGACGCTGGGGACGTCCACCGTACCAAACTCCCAAGTAACTTCCTGATCACGTTTAGAGCCAGTTTTACCTTTTTCAAGGAGCCAGCCGCAGTACAGTGAGGACGACTGTCACTGGATTACATGGATATCATGCAAACAGGCTGTATTCAACTGGTCTTTCGAGACAGCAGCTCTCGGAAAAATAACTCACCGCAAGTTGAGAATTGCATCCAACATTCTTCAGATGATAACAGGTCCTCCACCCTCTTCAAAAAACGACCAGAGCTCATAGCGGTCGGAACAACTGAGAGACATAGCCACCCGCTATCAAGGACGGGATGGACACCACAAGGAGAGAGGTTTACGTGCGTTTCAGGACACCAAGGAGTCTGTTTTGCATCTGAACTATCTCTAACTAGTCGAAACAACAGACCTGCTTTTAATGATACGTATTGCTAGATTATATGAAAACGATAAAGGGTAATTCAAGAGGCGAAATATATTAGGCAAGTCTAATTTCTCTGCGATTTTATTCTATGTTTTCTTTCATTAAAAATGAACCTATTCCATGAAATAATAGCTTCACTACAACTGTAATTAGGGATGAGATTGAAACCAAAGGGTCTCCGAGTTCAACTATACTTAACCGTAATGTCACGATGCACATTAACCAAGGGAGATACATTTGGAGAGAAGGGAGTAGTAAGTAGCAACAATCGAATTAATACAACTAATAATATGTTTAAATGGTGAAAATTTCAGCAGTTTTTGTAGGGTTTGAACCTATGCTTGGACGCCGTCTACGCTTTTGTACAGTGCACAACTTATGCGGCGTCCTTGCATGAGTTCGGATCCCATCGAGGACACTGAACTATTCATGGTTCAAACGTGTGAATTAAATTTCCCAAAAACTTAGTATTACTATTTTTTTTATAAGCGAGAGGGGGAAGTACTGCACTAGCATACTTTTCCCGAGCCGGGGTCCGCATGAATAGCAGATGAGAGAGCTTCATTCATTCAACTTCATAAGTTATTTGAATCGGACATCAATCTCGCCCGTGTTGTTTGTCTCTCGGATCGGGTTTTCAATGGTTTGGCCACAAATTTGGGTATCTGGGTATTTGTAACTGAATTCGCACTAGATTGTGTGATAAGGCGATTTCTCAATACGATTTACCTTTATCCAACTGGCAAGGATGACCAAGACAAGAAAAACCACATAGGGCTTCTCATAAACTGGTATGTAGGCGTGTGTAGGCGGGGGGTTCCGTACGAGTGAATCTACTTAATATTCAC